TCTGATTAGCTGGGAAGGAAGATTGACCTGCTGGTGCAAAATACAGGGATCTGAATACAAAGTGTGGGGACCTGGAATTGGCCACCCCAAGATATGTCTCTTTGGCATCAGGATTATTTGAGGCTCATTGCTTTTGATAAACTGGGACAGGGAAGGAGGCTCTGAGGAATGGAACTTGCCCTTTGTTAGGACACGTTTACATTTGTAAGGTAAATCTCTATCTGTAAAAGGTGCCTCCCTCTCTGTACCAGGAAGAAGAAAGGAGATGACCTTCACTCTAGAAACTCTTAATCAATACCAAAGGCAAGGACTTAAATCTGCATTTTATTGTGCTTCTCTGGTAACCTCCTGTAACTGACTTCCCTCCCCCTCCCGACGACGTTGGTATTTCTTTAAGGATTAAGCATCTTTCCTTAGGCTAGGAACTGATTGCTCAGATGATAGACTTGCCTCCTGCTACGCCCACTGAGATAGCAGACCACTACCTTGCTGTGTCCATCAAGCCCTGTGCTGACAGGGCAATCTTGTGACTATTGTGGGAGGGACATTTCAACCACATGTGAAACACCCTGTTTGGGGGTATATAACCACTCTGTGCACCCCACTTCTTCGGTACCCTTTCTTCCTTCGGGAAGAAAGGCCCCGGGCCATGGTTCCTGATAAATCTTTGTTTAATTTTCTCTTGCTATTCTGTCTCATGTGAATTTAATTCGTTCTCTGGCCAGACGACGAACCCCCATTTGGGAAGAGGAAATGTCTTCCTCCCCTACAAAAGCCACCCAGCCTCCACCTGGGGTATAGCAGAAGGAATAACCTCAGGCTGGTACAAGACTCTTCTCTTCAAGAATCTGGAGCCCCCATCCTCATTAAGCTGACAATTATCACGTGTATGCTACATATGGGCATTGTGCCAGGTGCTGGGGTTTACAGGCTAGAGTAGAATAAATGTCATAGCCAGGTTAGGCAGAAGGTCCCAGGGCAGGGAAGACCTAAGAGGGGCAGCTAACTAGGTAGCCTTAACATGCGAGTTAAGACAGGCTTCTAGGAGGAAAGGCCCTCTAAGCTGAGTTCTGACAGCAAAAGGTAACTTTCTTTTTCGGTGACGCAGATTGCTTATTTATTAACTGGAGCTAGGTACTAACCCACCTCATAGGGCTTTATTACAATAATGTATCACCAGATGTTGGAGATAGAAAAAAGTAAGCCAAAAGGATGTAAATAAGTCTAAAAGCCAACAGAATGAAGCAGACAGAGGAGAGGAAACGATCAACAACAGAAAGCAGTCTCTGAGAAGATGGCATGGGATCCAGGCCACAGTGAAAGGTTCATCTCTTCACTGGCACAACAGGAAAGGAAAAGAACAAGTAGACAAAATTAAAAGTATAGGTTCAAGAAATCCCAGTGGCGCAGCGGTTAAGTGCACATGTTTCGCTTCGGGGTCCCAGGGTTCGCCAGTACGGATCCCAGGTGCGGACATGGCACTGCTTGGCAAGCCATGCTGTGGCAGGTGTCCCACATAAAAAGTAGAGGAAGATGGGCATGGATGTTAGCTCAGGGCCAGTCTTCCTCAGCAAAAAAAGGAGGATTGGCAGCAGTTAGCTCAGGGCTAATCTTCCTCAAAAAAAGAACAAAGAAAGAACCCAATGTCCATCAACTGACAAATGGATGAACAAAATGTTATATCCCTACAATGGAATATTATTTGGCAATAAAAAGAAATGAGGTACTGACAACACAGGTGAACCTTGAAAATACTGTTAAGTGAAACAAGCCAGTCACAAAAGACCACATATTGTACGATTCCATTTATATGAAATGTCCAAAATAGGCAAAGCTAGAGATAGAAAGCAGATTAGTGGTTGCCAAGGGTTCGGAGGATTGGGAGGAAAGAGAAAATGACTGCTAATGGGTACAGGGTTTCTTTTGGGGATGATGAAAATGTTTTAAAATTTACTTTGGTGACGGTTGCTTAATTCTGTGACTATTTTAAAAACCACTGAATTGTATACCTTAATTGTGTCATATGTGAATAATATCTCAATAAACCTGTTATATTAAAAAAAGAATTACAGGTTTGAGGGCAGGAAATTGAGCGAGTTCTCTTCCAGTGATTTCTATTTTATATAGTCAGAGGCAAGACTGACTGCTGAAGAATGTGGGGGAAGGTGACAGGGTCCAAGATTCGTCAAAAGCGGGAGTACAAGGCACCCTCATGAGGTATTCATAGTTCCTCCAGTCTGGATGTGACTTACCAATCTGCGGTCATTTCTGCAATAAGCAATGCTGCCTAGAAAAACGGCTGGCCTCCTTAACCTTAGCAGGTTTCCAGGGGGAACTGAGCGGCAAAGGAAAAGGTTGTGATAACCCTTTACCCACAGGGCATAATATTAAAATGAGGGAAAATTCATCCCAAGAAACAAGTATTGGCAGCCTTACATCAACACACATTAAAAAAAAAAAAATCCTCAGTTACATTTCACCTTGGAAAGTGAAAACTGCAAGACATCAGCTTTTGGGATCAAGGTACATTTCTGGTTTTGAGTCTCTCCCCTTTTCAGTTATTTCAGCTAATTTTTAGTAACAAATTACCCACCTTTTTTATAACTCTTATTATCCTACCCAAATACATATTCGGACCATTTTTTATCTGAAATACGCGTTTGGCATAAATCTTTAACGTAAGAAATAGATCCTTAGGAATAACTCACATTTACTTGCTAATCTCTCTGAAAAGTTAAATTCACTTTTAACCACATTCTCAAGATGATTAAGATGAGGTTAACTGTCTAGGTTACTCTAATTCTCAAAAATGTCCCCATAAATATCCACATTTTAACCTTCTCGGGCAAGAAAACGAAAAATTTTGTTTTTTTAAAAGTCTACTCTCCAATATAAAAGACTCCTGGATGTTCACACTAAATTTCCCTTCTAATGAACGGATGTAATGCTTAGCATCCATTATTCCTTTCACAATCTAAATTAAACAGAAAAATTAAAGTATCAGAATTATTAACAGGTGCTTAGAAAAATCAGTGATCCAATTTACATAAACATACAAGTTACGTTTAGAACTTTTTACTTCATCTTAAATGCTTAAACTATTGTAAAGTGCATAATAAGAGAGCTAAGTGTGCTACCCTTAAATAACCAGTCATATAATCTGGAAAGCAACTCGGATCATCATTAACTATGAAGCCACTCATAACTATCCATGGCTGGTCTTAACTGGTCCCCAATACCTCCACTCTTGGCCCCTGCTAACCCATCCTCCACACTACAGCCAAAATGATCCAACATACCACTCCACCTTTACTTGAAGCCTTTGGACCTCTCACTGCCTACAGCATAAAATTCCAACATCTCAGCACAACACAAAAAGCCTTTCATCCTCTGACCCCACCCACCGGGGCCACTCTCCTCACTCACCATTTTCTGCTCGAGCAATACCAATCTACCTCTTTTCAGGCCTTCTCCCCAGTAAACTCCTAATCCTTCAAAACTCAAGTGGAATTCAGCCTCTCATGTAATGCCTCTTGGGTCTTCGGTAATTCTGCTTCTGCCTCTTCAACAACCTGTTATGGGGCACATGCCATAGATTTCCACCTATAATTGTAATTATTACTGCCTTGCTCTCCAGAGTGAGCTCTGAAAAGGCAGGAGTACTGCCTTTTCATCTATGTTCTCCCAGTGTCTATAACCCTGCCTGACACGGCTGTACTCAAATGTCCACCTAAAGAAGGAAACATCTCTTGTCAGTACCACCCCATCTGCGTGTGGCAGAGGCAGAACTAGAACCCACAACTCCTCACTCCTCGTAGAACGCTCCTTCCGTTATCACAACAGAGCCAGAGACGAAAGAGAGCAACATAAAACATCTCGAATATCTAGCTCACATAAGTGAGCAGTTTATAGCTTCCCAGGAGATGATGCTGGAGAGATGGAGCCGGGTTATGGAGGGCACTTAATACCGAGCTGAGACACAGACAGACCCGACTAGCCCAAGGTCACACAGCTATTAAGTGGAGGAACCGCAACGTGAAGCCAGGCAATCTGGCTCCAGAGTCCGAGGTCCTGACCACTTGGCAACACTGCCTATAAATAGTGGTCCATTACAGGTCTCTGCGCTGAAACAGTGCTATCAATGGGGCGGGGCAAAATCAGAATGGTGACATAAAATGGTCTCCCCAACCCCCTTCTATGATAAATCGCACTCCTGGGCTGGCGTTTGTGATAAAGAGGTTTGGCGGCGTCTGCGATGCGAGGCACGGGGCCACGGCGGGGCCGAGGAGCACAGCCTCACGCGACTGCTGGCAAATTAAACAGAACAGAGTATTAAAACGCCTGGCACGCAGTGAGCGCTCCCGACATGTTCGTGATGAGTTCCGATCTGGGGCAGCTGCAGAAGAACAGACTCGGGGCGGGAGGGGGGGGCGGCGGCGCCCCCCCTGGCCAGCCCGGGGCCGGAGAGAGCGCGACGCCCACGAGACTTCAGCAACGTCCCCGCCCCCGTGCCTCCTCGCCCGAGAGCCCGCTGACCGCCCCCTCCCGAGAGGAGCCCGCGCCGTGCCCGCCCTCACCTGCCGGCCCCATGTACTTGACCACCCCCTGGGTCTTGAACACCTCCCGGGCGGCCAGCAGCGCGTCCTCGCCGTGCGCCGTGTAGAAGTCCCCCCGGTCGAAGAGGCGCACCGTGGTGGTCGGCTTCTCCGGCATGCCCTGGAAGAAGCGCACGAAGCCGGCCTCGGCCGCGCTCTCCAGCTGCAGCGTCTCCTTGGGCTGCACCGCCATTTCGCAGCCTCTCCACAGCCTGCCTGAGGAAACTGCGCGACCCCGCACCCACTAAGCCGTTTCCCGCCTCCCCTCCCTCGCGCTCCGTGCGGCGTCCGGCCTCTGCGCAGACGCCCAATCAGCATCCAGCGCTGCGTTTCGGTGGGTGGGAGTCTGCCGCGGCAGCCAATCATACACGGACGCGGCCCAGCTTCCCGCGCACGCTGGTGACTCTGTCTACTGCGCATGCTTGAGCCTGGGTCGCGCGCCGACTCTGCCGGGCGCCCATCCGTAACGGAGTTAAGTTCTCCGGGTTTTCTCGGCTGCACGGGTGTGGGACCCAGGTGGAAGAACAGCGAGGGGAGGCGAGCAGGTGGGACATTCTGGCGAGTTTTGAGTTTATTACGTACCCGGAAGCGTGGGAGTGAAGTCAGCAAGAAACTTGAAAACAAAGGAAACTAGCCATCTTCCCTATCCCAGTATTTTTTAAAACCTGCGCCCCTCTCTCCCCAACTCCTCCCTTTTCCTTTGTGAGCAAACTGCCGACATCAAGCTTACAGGTTTCTTCTCCACACCCTCTTTACTGCTCCCTGCTAGCCAAATTCTCTCTCGTTTTGTCCACTATTTGATTCGTTCTTTCAAAAACATTCTTAGGTGATCTGCTGTGTGCCAGATTCTTCTAGGATCTCAGGATCCCTAATAGAGAAAGAAAAACCACTGCTTTTGTTCAGCTTACATTCTAATGAATGGATTCAGATAATATAGTAAGTAAACAGTAAGTTTATAGTAAGTAAACTGTTAGAAGATAAGTGTTTAGGTGAAAAATAAAGACGAGGGTGGTTGAATTTTTTTTAAATGTTGAGCAAAGGCCTGAAGGAGGTCAGGATCCGTTCTGCACAGTTACTTGCCTTAGCAAAGGTATTGCGCTCTCCTGTCGGGCTCACCCTTCCCCCCTGGAAACGGCCCCAAACCCTGATTCAGCAGCAGAATTACCCCGGGGGCTTTCCGAACGCATTCCCGGGCCCCGCCCACCGACGATGGGTTAGAATTTCTGAAGGTGGGGTCTTGGGATCATTTTAGAAAGCTTCCTGGGTACTCCTGACAATCAGCTCAGTTTAGGAACCACTGGCCTACATGTTAGAATTCGAATCTTTTCTGGAGCAGAGAATGTTTGGGTCATCTGCCTGCTGGCTGGGTCTCCCACAGCCTGCACTGCCCCCTCTCCCCCCGAGGCTGTGATCCGGGGCAACAAACTTCCCCTTCCGTTCCAACAGGGTGGCTCCAACATGAACTTGTCCCTCTAGTCTGGAATGGCCCTTCCCTGTCCTTTGTGTAGCGAACTCCCAGTCATCCTTCAGTCCTTGGGCACAAATGTCTCTTCAGCAAAGCCTGCCTAGTCTCCCCAGGTGTAATTAGCTGCATTATCTTTTGAAGAACCACCTTATTCATATCTCTGTTACAATATTTGCTGCACTGTTTCACAAATATCTGTTCACCTGTCTCTCTTACTAAACACCTGGAAAGGACATGGATGCGCATTTATATTTTTTATAGTTAATAATGATAAGTAATGTTCATCAGCATTTATTGACTGTCAAGTGTTTATTTTTACATGTGTTTATTTTAATCTTTACAACTTTAGTTATTAAACACTATTGTTATTTTACACTGAGGAAACTGAAACTTGGAGATATGAAGTAAATTGCCCAAGGTCACAGAGCTAGCAGTAAGTGATAGAGCTGGCATTGAGTCTTGCTGCAGGTACTACATATCTGTGTGCCATAGGGCTTGGCACATGTTAGGTGTGCAGGAAATGTGTGTAAATGAATGAGCTGTGCATCACAATAACCACTTCTAGATGATAACCTGGCCTTGAGTGTCATCCCATCTCTCCCCTTTCCCATGTTAGATACTAAATAGTGAGTTCAGAGGGAGGCAGCATGTTGATAATGATATCTACCCCCAAGGTTGATGTGAGGAGCAAATAGGGTAATAGCTTTGAAAATGTTTTGTATTCTTTTGTAAACAGCCTCTATGCTGTTATCATCACGTTTCTCCCACTCAGACTATGTGTATCTCTTACTCATTGAGTTATTTATTTGTGTATCAATTGAGTCTATTAATTCTAAAAATAAAGAGAATTCCCAAACTGGCCCTGATCTGTCTGGAGAGTTAGGGCCTAGACAATTCGAGGTACTGTGAAGGGCTATAGAGCATGTCAAAATATAAGCTTCTCAAGGCAATTTGAAAAAGACCGAGTTTACAGGGAGGGAGGCAGAGGGCCTGATGGGAGGGGGTTTGGGTTAATCTAGGTGAGGGCGGTGGATATTTCTCTCTTCTAAAGATAAACAAGATTGGAAAAAAGGTCTGCTCTGGACTGTGAGCTAGATGCTCCTCCTTCAGAATATTTGTCCAGTTTGGGCGCATAGCACACTGCTGCTAGAGGTGGATCTCCAGGGTGGGAGCTGTTAAAAGAATCTAGTGACTGTAATTGCTCCCGGGCAGGGGAACTTGGGGCCGGCTGCCGGAATGGGAGCTTTTTTTGTATATCCCTTTGTTCTGAGAAAGAAAATGTATTTCAAACCTGATCTTTTAGTCTGATGTCATTAGCTGCTCCTCTGGGAAGTTATTTCCATTTCTGATAGACTTTAATGGGCATAAAGTCTGGAAAATTCATCTGGAGCACCATCAGCCTTGGCAGAGGACAGCGACCTTTTTTTTTTTTTTTTGAGAAAGATTAGCCCTGAGCTAGCATCTGTGCCCATCTTCCCCTACTTTATATGTGGGACGCCTGCCAAACATGGCTTGACTAGCGGTGCCATGTCTGCACCTGGGATCTGAACCAGCAAACCCCAGGTCACTGAAGCAGACCATGCGAACTTAACCGCTGCGCCACCAGGCTGGCCTCAGACAGTGACCTTTAACCAAACTTAGAAGATAGTTAGTGATTCCAGAGTCTTTACTTTGTATCCAGACTAATAACAATGATCCTAACATGCTTTCTTCCTACAAAATGTCTTTGAGAAGAGGGACCTTTAAATTAGCCTGCTTAGAGACAAGCTTGAAACAAAATTGTGATGTGCTTGTAATCAATTGGTCTAAGAAGGTTTTTTAACAGTATCTTCTTTTTTGGAAGCTGTGTGCATGGATTAAATGTTTATGCTAAATTTCTAAAGTTACGTCAAATAGTTGTGTCTTATAGAAATTTCATATGTGGGGGCCAGCCCCGTGGCTGAGTGGTTAAGCTCGAGTGCTCTGCTTCTGCAGCCCAGGGTTTTACCGGTTCAACTCCTGGGCGCGGACATGGCACCGCTCATCAAGCCATGTTGAGGCGGCGTCCCACGTGCCACAACTGGAAGGACCCAAAACTAAAAATACACAACTATGTACCAGGGGGCTTTGAGAGAAAAAGGAAAAATAATCTTTAAAAAAAAAAAAAAAGAAATTTCATATGCTTTCCAGTCCTACATAGGAAACTGTGATTTTCTAAAATTAACTGGCAAGAGGAAGTTTGCAAAATTATACCTAGAAGACATGGTATGATTGATAAGATGCCATAAAATCATTACCCCAACATGGTTGTTTTTAATTTTCTCATATATTTTCCAAATTCACTATTATGACTATTACTTTTTTATAATCAGAATAAATATTGGGCAAAAAAGCACATGTACCTAACAAAGAGGCTTTTCAAAGAAGTAATAATTAAGATTTTGTAGGGGCCAGCCCCATGGCTGAGTGGTTAAGTTCTCGCACTCTGCTTTAGTGGCCCAGGGGTTCCCTGGTTGGGATCCTGGGCGCAGACATGGCACCGCTCATCAAGCCATGCTGAGGCGGCGTCCCACGTAGCACAACGAGAGGGACCTACAACTAGAATATACAACTATGTACTGGGGAGCTTTGGGGAGAAGAAGGAAAATTAAAAATAAATTTTAAAAAATTTTAAAATATCCAAGTATAGAAAAGTGTTTAGTAAATTTTAAAATGCTTTAATTTAATTTTAAAAGTAAATTATGATTGTTAATTCAGTTTTCTATGATAATATATCCATGAGAAATTCATATGCAACACTAATTTTGCCACCACTTCAGTTTCCAAATTTTTTGTAATGTGGTGGTATTATTCTATTATTTAAAGATGACAATAGGCCCGGCTCCTCTTTTTGCTGAGGAAGGCTGGCCCTGAGCTCACATCTGTGCCCACCTTCCTCTACGTTATATGTGGGACGCCTACCACAGCATGTGTGGCAAGCAGTGCCATGTCTGCACCTGGGATCCAAACCAGGGAACCCCACGCCGCTGAAGCAGAACGAGCACACTTAACTGCAGCGCCACTGGGCCAACCCCTCCCTCCTTTTTACTATCAAATAATATTTCATTGTATGGCTCTAGCACATTTTATTTATCCGTTCATCAGTTGGTGGACATTTGGTTTGTTTCCACTTTTTGGCCATCAACAATGCTGCTGTGAACATTCATTTACAAGTTCTTATGTGGACATGTGTTTTTATTTCTCTAGGATATATACCTAGAAATGGGATTGTTGAGTCATACTTTTAATATATGTTTAACTGTAATCCTTATGTTAAACTATAACACATATGTTTAACATACTATGTTTAACATTTTGAGCAACTGCCAAACTGCTTTCCAAAATGGCTGGAACATTTTACATTCTCACCAGCAATGTATGAGGGTTCTGCATCCTCGCCAACACTTCTTACTGTCTGTCTTTTTGATTCTAGCCATCCTCGTGGCTGTGAATGTTATCTTATTGTGGTTTTGATTTTCATTTCCCTAATGACTAATGATATTGAGTATGTTTTCATGTGCTCTGTATGTTTGTCTGAGAAAATATTTGTAAATCATATATCTGACAAGAGACCTGTATCCAGAGTATATAAAGGACTCTTACATCTCAATAATAGAAAGATAAATAACCCAATTTAAAAGTGGGCAAAGGATCTGGAAAAGTCATTGGTTTTTGTTTTTGTCTTTTTTAAGGAAGATTAGCCCTGAGCTAACATCTGCTGCCAATCCTCCTCTTTTTGCTGAGGAAGACTGGCCCTGAGCTAGCATCCGTGCCCATCTTCCTCTACTTTATATGTGGGATGCCTACCACAGCATAGCTTGCCAAGTGGTGCCATGTCCGCACCCGGGATCTGAACTGGCAAACCCCTGGCTGCCGAAGCGGAATGTGGGAACTTAACCGCTGAGCCACCAGGCAGGCCCTCATTGGTTTTTGAGAAAGCTCTTTGGTTGGTTGATGTGGGGAACAGAGGCTCTATGGATTGAAGATTTCATTCTGAAAATAAGATGTGCTCGTTCTCTTTGAAAAGTTTGATAAGAAAGGAAAAGAGGTGGGAATGGTAGCTTGTTAGGGAGATAAGGTCAGTGGGAATTTTCAGAGGGGTAGGGGGACACGTTTTAGGATGATGGGAAAGAATTGTGAGATTATGTAGTGTCTACTGAAAGTGTTGTGAGTTTTTTTGAGGAGGAAAAACTTTTCCTCGACCTTCTTAGTTTCAGGAATTGGGAACTTGTGAATTAAACTGAGAAAAAACAGATTAACAGGAGAAAAGGCACACAATTTTTATGAATATTTATGTGCATAGGGGTTCACAAAAAAAGAAATAAATCTGAAAGAAGCCGTCAGGCTTGCAGTCTTATATACTCTAACAAAGGAAAGAGGGTTTTGGCTTCAAGAGATGATAAACTGTGGG